CCCCTCTCCCTCCTTGCCCTGGTTTGGCTGTACTAGTCTAATAAGGACTATAGCTGTCTTTCCCAGAGAAGACCGCCAGGTCAAAGCATCTTTCTGTGATATGTGCTTTAGTTGAACACAAATCACAAATACAAGGATAACGGAAGGAAATTGTTGGTTGGGGACAGGCAGGGAATTTGGCAAAAAAATTTTGCCACCTTGTCTGGACTAAAATACTGCTGATATTGTGAGTCCAGCAACTGGCTGGGGGTAGCGTATTGGGGTTGCAATGTGAAAGCACTTGTACTTTTGTAAAATCTTTGTAGGCTCTTTGCAGTCCCTATTTGATCTGCTAGTTGTTTCTTGGAGTGAACTGGTTAACCCAAGAAAAACCTGTTAACTTCAGCTGGGCTATATGCCTTAATGAAGGTATGCTAGTCATCTTGTTTGTGTCTTTTTTTTCTCTCCTCTGTCAAAACTTGCTCTTATGCGTTAGAAACGTCATGTATTGGAGGACTTTTCAACCATAATATTAATAAACCTCCCAAGTCCTGGCTTGCCAAAAGGTGACATACTGCTACTGGCCAAAGAAACTCACTAATGCTGGGATTAATAGATTTTTCAGGCTATAGGTAATTGTTAAGACTTGTAGAAATGCTGGGCAATGAATTACAGGAAGAAAAAAAAAAGAGTGTCCACAGAAAGAGCAGATGTATCTTTGGTCCAGGATGAAACTCCTCCCTTTTCTCCACGCCCCTGTAAATCGATTATGCCTTAGGACCAACCAGTTTCTTAGTTGCCTGTGTGTGCTGTGTCCTGTGGGTTGATATTTTTATTTATTTTAATCTTTTAAATACCATGAGAATCCTGTTTAGCTTGACAGAATAATTAGGGGTACATAGGTGAGGAGTAACATGTGTCCTTCCTGTGGGCAGACTCTCTCCAGAGGTGAGGCAATGCAGGATTTCCTCAAGAAGCCTAGACTCTGCACTTGGTCTTTGAGATGTGATCAAGGCCTGGGAGACCTTTCAGTAGCATTGATAAAGGAGGCAAAGTGACTTTTGCAAGGCTACGCAGCCAGCTAGCGGCTGAGCTGAGAACAGAATTCACTTCCTGTTGCTGACTGTGCTGCCCATCTAGTCAGAGCGCTCTGCCTCCTGCCTTTCACAGCTCTTCCACTAATACTGTCAGTTGAGAGAAGTCCAAACCACAAAGTTCAGATTTGGCATGAGATCCAGAGTTTGGGAGCATTCGGGCTCATCTCACTTCACAGGAATATAGTAAGCTTTTTCTGTAGCCTACAAAAAAGGCAGCGTTCTTTCAAACGCATCCTGCAGATATAAACTCAATAGCAGATGAAAAGTGTTTTGTTTTGTTCAATTTCCCAATGTAAGTTTTCCAGGAAGGAGTCAGATGGCCAGAGTTATGCAAACCAAATGGATCTTCTTTTGTTTAGAGTAAAGAAAAATAGTCATTCATTTTTGTGGTGAAACACAAACATTCTCCAAACAAAACCTTCTCCCTGTAGCCAGCCTGGCCAGCCAAGAGAGCCCTCTCTTGGGACTCAGGCTGATAAACTTTCTGGAGGCATAGATTTGATGCAAGTCGGGGGTGGGAAGGGAGAGAAAGATATGAAAAACTAATGGAATGATCCATGTAAAAGGCCTTGCAAAATTAAACCAGCTTTTGGTGCATTGAATGCTGGCATGGGACATTCATTGGCCTTGGCTTTCAGTGTTGATGAAGGAAAATGAGACAGCGGTCTTCACTTCTTCATGTGTGCACTGAGACAAAGCCATAACGTTATGGGATTTAGTTATATCTCTGTAGGTCAGGGCCAGATTTTCCACTTCTGTGGATCTTTCCCACTTGTGTGAAGTGGGTGGGAAATGCTTCTGTTATCATTTGGTAGCTCCATTGCAAAGCTGTGAGTGCCTTTGTATTAAGCAAGCTCACAATAAATCCAGTGCCTATGCTGGATACAACATGAAGCGTGTGGGATGTGCGTTGTATCATTATATCACGTGGTTTAAATACCTATGGTCTGTCAGCCCCTCTCCTGAGGAGGAAGTAATCGTCTAGATGGTGTAAGGCTAGCCTAGGAATGTGTTGCGCTAAACAACATCCACTCCCAAAAATCTATCGCAGTGGGAATGTGAGTCTGTGTTCTTGCACTGGGGCTGTAGGAATTCAGCAATAATGTACAGCGCTTGCCAGGCCAACGGTAGGATCACGGATCTAGAAAGGATCACAAAAGTTTGAAGACCACTCTCAGTAGCTAAGCTGTGATGTTTAAGTGAGGCCTGTTGATGAAAACCATATAGCTGGTTGAAATGTTTCATTTTCAGCTGTTTGCCTGTGTGTGTGTCAAATGGTCCTCTTAAAAAAAAAAAAAAAAAAAAAATACTGTGGGCAACCCAAAAATTCAAGCATGTGTATATATTTATGTGCATGTGGTATGTAGGTTTGGGACTGCTGGAAGCTGAAAACAGGGAAAAAGAAATCAACAAAGGCTACAACTTTTCATTGATATTTCAGTTTTCTTAATGGAGTATAGAAAATACATGTTTCCTAAACTGCCTGAGGAAATCTTTTCTTTATGTTACTGCCAGAGCAAAGTAGTATATCAGTATGAAATAGGAATTATAATGTGTGATATGAATTACTGGAGCAATATTACTGCTTTCCGAAATTTTATATTTGGTGGAACCATCTCCTTTAGGAATGTCTGGGAGAGAACGCTTGACTGAGTCCTGTGCCTGCAGTAAGGCACCAGCCTCCTGCAGTCTCCATCTCCCCTTTATGCTTTGCCCACTGTAGGGGAACGTGCTGTGTGGCCCTGCTTCTGAGTGAACTTGGCTGAGCCTACCTACTGAGAATAGGGCCAGGATCAGTAGCATACTACTGCTGTTGCCCTAATCGTTATTAGACTGCCTGTGTGAATGAATTACCTCAGCTGCCAAGTGAAGAGCGAGCAAGGCTCACAGCTGATACAGAAACTTCTTTTGAGAAGGTTACTGTGTTCTCTTTGGTTTTGGGTCTCTTCATTGCTTTTCCTCTTTCCACTGGCACCTGTAATGGAATTGTAACTTGTACAAGTGCCCTCAAAAACAAAAGACCAGACAGTCAAAATAGCTCAACTCTTCATTAGATTACTAAATGATTTGGCTAAACTTTCATCCTTGCTCCTTTCACCTGTTGCTGTCAGCAATACCTGCTAGACACTGAACGCTGCTTATAACCTTGCTTCCATGTTGCCAGTGTTATATGCACCCTGAGAAGTTTCACACCTGCGTAGTGTGCTTAGTTAGAGACTTTTGTTGGTTAGACCTCTGGTTTTGCTTTCTGTGCTTTAACTGGCAAAGCAAGGTGGTGGCATGCTGCTCTGCTGTTTTAACGTTGTCCCATAGAATGGGAGGACTCCTCCCCTGGCTGCCATGCGTAGAGATGGGACAAGAACAGGAACTGTCAATTTACGTAAATTATCAGTCTGACAGCTGTATCCATAGTTCAGCTTTCATCCTCCAGTGTACCCAGAATAATACTCGCTTCACAGGAATATAGTAAGCAACTGGAACAGGGTGGGAGAACCCAGGTCATGTTGTCCATCCCTTAAAACTGAAATGCAAATAATTGCATGTGTAAATCAGGCCTTCTGTGCTCCTTGCCTCCCTCCAAATGATTGTTGTTGGAGCAAACAAGCCTTGCTCTTTGTTTCCCTGTGGTGAGGCATAAGCAGGGAGGAAATGCTGGCCCTACAGGCTGGAGAGCAGAAAGAGCAGAAATCTGTTGGGAAAAGGCAGTGAAAGCCCTCAAACGAAATGAAAGTTTTAACTGGAAAGTTTTAGGAAATTGATAATGTTTGATGAAGCTCTCATTTCAGATGTATATACGCATCTCTATGGAAGGCCCTAGAGATTGCTATAAATACAGCTGGTAGAAAGCTTTCCAACAGTGACGCGTTTCTGGAAAAATGCTGATTCAGCACAATCAGTCTGTTATGTGGGAATGCGTGGTTTCTAGCCAAGAAAAAAGAGGAAACCAGCCTGTCTGTCTGCCTGGTTTTCTGCCAACCTGCATGACCTCTAGTGAGCTGGCAAGTGGGCTAGGAAGTTCCTTGGGATCCCCATTTCTCTGGTGACCAGCAGCTGGTATAAAATTCTATTTAAGTTCTTCAAAAGAGGACCGTTAACTAATGTTTCTGTTTCCAAAGCAGTCTCCTATTGATAATCTTTTCACTCCACTTTATAGAATCAGAGTAACTTAGGTTGGAAGGTTTAATTAAAGTTCAAATGAGTCTGTGTTGGAAGTTTAAAATTTTCCAGGAAGTGCATTTTTTCTTAACCCAGCTACGTCCAAGTGTTTGTAGTCTGGTGCAACTCCGTATGAATCCGCTATACAGAGAGGCTGGGATAACCTACTCTGAAGATTCAAAAAGCTTTGCATCTCCAGTTATGTTGTGGCTGTGATGTGACAGTTTTCAACAGCACAGAGTAGCTGCAGGGATGGCGAGGATGCTGCATGACAGTGGGGGGTTTCTAATTACACCGAGGCATTCAACTCTGCAAAGGCAGGTGATTTGTCTTTGCCAGCCCTGTTGTAGGAGCAGAAGGGCAAAGGGCTTTGTGGGATGTTGTCGCACAAGGAGACTGAGAGAAAGCTGGGATGGGAGCTGTGGCAGGCTGCAAGCAAGACAGTTTTATTGAGAGCTCTGCAAGCAAACGAGGAAGGAGCATTGGCCATGTTTCCCTATTTTTTCCACAGGATGGGTAAATGCAAGGTGTTGGCTCTTTTGCTGAGATGCATTTACTTTGTATTTACTATGTAGCACCGTGGGCTAAAAGCAAGCATGCAGTCACCTCAGAGCAGCAGCAGCAGCTATGCAGTAGCTTTTTATCCTCCACGCAGTTCGTGTTTGATGTCAGTTTTGTGTACCAAGAGTGAGAACAATGTTATTGTAATCTTGACCTTCAAGACCTGTTACTGATGTGTGATAAATCACAGTACCCCTTCCATTCCAGATGAGAAGCCTTTCGTCGTGGAAGATACCTATTTGCTCTGCCCAGCACCTGTGTTACGAGAAGTTGGCATGTATGTTTTCTACACATTCAAATACTTACTCTTCCTATGGGAAAATGAGTCTGTCTCATTTCTATATTCTGTTGATCTTATACGCATCTAATTCCAACACTCTCTTATGCTTCTCATTCAAATGGATCACACTTTCCAGACCACAAATTTCAAACAGGGGAACTTAAAACACTGCTTTAGAATATGCAGAGTGTTGTTTACCACTGTGGATCAGAGATTATCGGGTCATGGCAAATATATGAATGCAAAAACTGGCTACAGCAGGTTTTAACTGCAAAGCATCAATAAATTTAGAGGCCCTCTTTGAAATGATCTCAAAAACCTCAGGATAGCAGTAGTTTAATAGTTCAAATGCTTGGGCCAGAACTTCTGGTGGGGTTTTCAGCAGAAGGACTTCTCTGCATGAACAGAGATTTCTTTCTTTAGCACAAAAAAAAAAAAAGGGGGGGGGGGCAAAGCAAGGGAGAGCCTCAACTGAAAACATCGTCCTGTTAATGAAGAAAATCATCCCTTACCTCAAAGGGGAGATTTTATGCAGTTGATGCAAAAGACAGAAAGATTCTGAATTCATCTAATCCTAATCTGGATTTAATTCCCACCAACAAATCCAGAAATGGTTTGACTCTTCTGCTCCCTTTTCTTTTCTTTCTCTGGGGTTTGTGATCTGAACTTAGCTGTGCCTGATAGTTATGGCTTCCCCTTAGCAGATAAAGCGAGCTCCGATCACAGCAGAGGACTGGTGTGTTGATAGTCTCAGTTTAAACAAAGTTAGGTACTTAGAGGAGAGAGATTAACTAATCCAGGTCTAGCTAATAAGTGACATTGCTTAATGAAAGATGTTTCCTCACTGTTATACTGTATTTGTTAGCCAACTCTAATAATGGCAGAGGTATATCTCTAGGCTTCTCAGTTCAAAGGTATAGACATTTAATGACTAACGATGTTCAAAGTAGGGTGTTTCAGCAGCAAATAGCATTTTAGTCAACTGAGAAGTAGTGTTCCCTGAAGACAGGTGGGAGGAGATCAGAGGCAACCTAAATCATACCTGGCTAAGGAAAATGTGACAGACATGAACGTGCATACTATGGCTATGTCCCTCTTGGGGTTAGGGAAAGGAGAACTGAAACAAAGCTACCTGTGCTGGCAAACTTTGGCTGTGCAGGTAGCATAGGTTGAAATTGGCAGTTGTGCATTAGAGGGCAGGGGGGACAGAACCGAAGGTGTGAATTAGTCTGTATGGAAGGCTGCTCCCAAGCATCAGAAGCCCCAGTTCCAGGGGATGTATCTAGTAAAGGATTGTGGGGCTAGTTGGCCTGACTTATTTCTTTTTCCCCTCCCTCCTCTGTCTCCAGGGAAGCAGCTCTACAAGTCAGTATGAATGATGGCCTGAGCTTCATCTCTAGCTCCGTCATCATCTCCAGCACACATTGCGTAAGTGTTGATTCATGCTTCTGAAACGATTCAGTGGGATGGTGGTACTTAACAGCAGATGTGTTATACCAGTATTAGGGATTCAAGCTTGTAAGCTTGGTGTGCAAAGGACATGTCACCCTGCTCTAAAGGTGAGCTTGTAAGCATGGTAATCTCGTATTTTCTGTATCATGGGCACCGTAATATGGCAAAGCACTTGGGTCTTCAGCAAACAACTCAGATTCTGTATCTGTTATGGGATGCACAGACTAGAACAGGACTAGCCTGGAGGTGGCTATGTTTGCTCGTCCGTTACACAGGGACGAAGAAACAAGTCCGCTGGCTTCATACCTAGACTTTCCTCTTTCGCAGTGGGTGGTGCCAATGATGAGAGGCACACAGCAGTAGTGATCATACCCTTTGTCTGGAAACCAGTATGGTTGCCAAAAAATCAGAGGGTTTCTCCACTGAAGCAGCTCGCTTAAGCTCCAGTCACGTGCTTCATTGCCAGTAGTGCCTGGATTACTGTACTCCTAAGACTTCTGTGGAATCAGGCATAGGACAATGAAACCACTTACTATTCCCAGTGTTGCTGAAAACGCTACTTCTATGAAATCACAGCTATAGGGTTGAAATGACTTGTGCTAAGGAAGGTATTGGAGGAATTTACTTTGAGTTCAGAACGATCCTTCATGTGTCAGTGTATTCAGCTTTATACATCTCCAGTAAGGCTCACTTTCTATACAGGGAATGGTTGAGGCTCTGCTTTAGTTCTCTCACGTACTGACTTAAACTATGTGGACATAGATTTTTGTGGAAAGCTAGGGGATTCTTGCCAGAGAGAGACTTGCAAGCCTTGAAACTCTGAGGGTGCCAACTTTGCTCCCTATCTGGCAAAGGCACGTGGTGTTTCCATACAGAATAAGTGAAAGGCCGAGTTGTATAACATCCGATTACTAGCAGTCTTCTGTGGCCCACAAAGGCTGATGCGCAAGACTAGGAAAGAAAATCATCTTTTGTGTCACTTTGTCTTTTCACTTCTTGAACAAAGACAAGATTGTACGCAGACGCAGTTTTCAAAGTTTACACGAAGGGTTATTCTCCAGAGCTTACAAAGACATCTTTATGCCTTGAAAGAAGGGGTTTATTTTATTAAGGTTTAATTTTTTGGTTCAAGTTCCCTTTCTCTTGGGGTGAAAATGTAATTTGCCGACACGCACAAACACAAGAATGTTTTCCTGTGTTTTGCTCATGTGAAGCAAGACCTGGGAGGAATTTTTAGAAAAAAATTATTCTTTCCTGATGATACTGCTTCTTCTGGAAATGAGGTTATTACTTCCAAGTTATAGGAGATGAAATATTTGTTCCTCTTTGTACTTTTTAATAGCTATAATGAAGTGTTCAGAAATCCCTACACTTCACAGCAGTGCCTGCTACTCTTTGATGCCTCTAGAGAGGGAAATGGGGAGTTGGCTTTTCAATGCACCTAAGCAGCCAGAATTCAAATCCAGTTCGTACATCTTAAACCCAGAAGCAGTGACGTTCAGTGGCTACTTTCAAAATTATATTGTGGATTTCACTAATTTAGAAAGCTTCTTCTGGGTAAGCAGGCATTTTTGTCTTTTTTTTGTAGTGGTGTTTGTCCTCTTAATAATAAAAGTGGTTTGCCAAGACTGCTGTTCCTGCTTTAAGGTTGCAAAGGTTCCTATCCTGAAAACACTCATCTCATTATATATATAATAAGTAGCAAATATATTGTTTAACTGACTTTAGACCTGAAGTTTGTTTCTTTGAAGAACTGAAGACAAAGTTGGAAAGCTGTAAAATGAAGTGAGAGTAACAAGCAGGGGGAAAAAAAACAGTAAGACTTGTCTGCAAACTAACCATGGGTAGTTTGGTTCTTCTCTGTACTTTATATTTCTATGCTATGACCTAGCTCAAAGAAATGACATGAAAAACTATTTTCAATTAAGAGCATAGATGAAGCAAAGAAAGCTACATTCCCAGCACACAAAGATCAAAAAAACTGAGAGTCGGAAAAGCACTCTAACTCAAGTTGTTGATTAATATAGGTATTTGAGGATCAGGACAGATCAAGCCTAGACTTCTAACTATCCAGCTAATATGATCTCTTATCAGTCTTGTTATCACTAATTGGAGTGTAGGTTTCCATGATCAGAAAGCTGGACCAGTTTCTCATGGATTTATGGGACCATAAAGCCATTTTATATTAGCATAGGTTCTGACCTTGTATCTAATATTTGAAGACTCCTAGGAATGAGACAGTTAAGTATCAGTTTTATTAAGCAGTGAAAACTCTAGAAGAAAAAAAACACTTTTCATTTTTGAACAATAGGTCATTTCTGGGGAAAGAAGCAAGGGATCAAAGCTTTCACTTTTTTCAGAAGAGCATCACCGTGTCAGTGCCGCGTGCTGTTACTCAGCAAGCCCCAACTCCCGTGACTGTTAGAAGCGGGGAAGGGAAATGGAGGGAAGAGCACTGGGTACTCTTATGTTTTCTAACACTGAGTGCCGGCCCCTGAAAATGGGATACTGGGACTCTTTGCCTTGCCCATTGCAGTCATTTTTGTGAGGTTGCCAGGTAAAAGTGTTTTTCCCAGGCTATGCTGCCTTTGTATTTAAATACTGAATGCGTGGCAAAAGTATTGTTCCTGTGGCCCACTTCAGGGAACGTCAAGAGTTTTGTAGCCCTGAACGCAATGATGCAGATCCCTCTCTGGTATAACCTGACAGTCTCTGGGAACTGACAGAGCTTTTGCTTGAGCCCGTATTGCCCAGCTTAATCTGTTATTTGCGTTTTTTCCGCTTGAGGTGTAAAGTCTGCTACAGCTTTTCAAGGGTGGGGGTGGGGGGGAGAAAATGAGGGAAGGTTAGGAATGAAGGCGTATGTAATGGCTGACCTCATCCTCTTCCTAGTCTCTTGAGAGTGACTTAAATGTCTCACTTCCAAGCATTAAGTGACACGACTTGTCAAATCCATCAACTCCAAATTAGCCGCCATTGAATGTGAGCATACAAAAGGGCAGATGGAATCCACTCACCTGGACTCCGTGTGTGCATTGTGCTTTATTTGGGACTTCTCACTTTTCCTAGTTTTCTGTTTCCTGAAATGTGGCAGGCTTCAAGGTTTGAAGCCAAAAAATGCAAGGTATGCCTTAAAATAAACCGCACGGGCTCCTGTTATGTTCTGTCTTTTGCTCAATTGCTTATGCCTTCTAAAATCAGTGTATAGGCATGACTGTATATCCACTTATACCCCAATTTCCATGGGGCTCAAGAAACTGCTATGTTTTAGGTTCCCAAAACAAAATTGCCAGAAGTGCTCAAATCCCATTTTAAAGCAATTCCCCAGGCTTTCCTGGTACTTCACTGCAATTCTCTCCTCTCTGACAAAAGTAATGGATTCTTTTCATGTAATAAAAGAAAAACGGAAGATGTGAGAGACTTGTAAAGATGCTTTTGTTGCTGAGGGACTTTCAGCTTTTCCAATTTAGAGTACGTTTGTTGGAAGATTTATCATCATGTAAATGTGATCTTAGCTGGATCAGGTGGAACGAAGACTCCATTTAAAAGAAAAGAATCAAAATTCTTCTCAATAGGTGCCATTATTTTCAAGCCTGAGGTACAAAATAGTCGATAGTGGGTCTTTGGTTTGGGATTTTACTTTGTTTTTCTTCCTCAGAACTTGGCCACAGAGTGGATTTTTCAGGAGGATTTTTTTTAGAGGCAGGAAAGTTGATTACACATGTGAAGAAGCCCCTTTAAATCCCTTGGGATAAGTAACAGTTCGGAATTTGCCCAGGCACATACACCTGTTAGCAAGCAAACTCCAAATGCAAGGCCCTTCTGATTAGTAAGGAAGTACGGGTCAGAGAGAACCTGGCTTGACTCACTGATCTCATGCAGGGGTGGCCTGTAAGCAAAGGTTGAGTTGTCCTTTTCTGGAGGTAGTAAGAAACATTGACCATGGAATTCCACAGGACCACTCAGTTTGCAGAGGGCAGTCTTTAACACAAAGAGAAGAATGAAAGAAGGGAACATGGATTACACCCAGGTTCCCTTCAAATAAAAGGAGGAAGTGGATTTTTATATAGGATTTCATGACTTTCATTTGTGAATCACCACAAGAAATGTGTGGCCCTGAAGACAGTAGCAGTTTGTAGGATCATAACTATGGTGGGTAAAAACTGGTTTGGGTCTGGTTTGGTCTGCCTGTACTGTAGCTAGGGCATTACTTCCACTGGATTCGCTGATGCTCCCAAGCCAAGTTTGGAATTGGCTAAAAATCCAAGCATGCGCATCTCTGAGTTGAGAGCTAATCGATTATTTTCATTGGGCTCTAATAGTGGTAAGATTTGGTTGCAAAATGGCAATTCAGCCTTTCCCAGGTTTCAGGTCTCTTTGTGGTAAAGATAGAATCAGGATTAGTGGAGAATTGCTTTGTTTTGGTGATTACAACTCCTCCTCCGTTCTCCCACCCTTGCATTAGTTTCTCAGGAATTAGGCTTTTGTTGTGGTTTTATCATCATCTTGGCTTTTCTGCTGTTTGGCTCTGAAGTCTGTAACGTGAAACGTGGCTGGACCATGCCAGATGCCCCAAGACAATTATATATCGGAGCATATTTCTGTCTGCCAGGGGTGGAAAATTGAGGCATACTGGAGAGAAACTGGGGATACTGCACCTGCTGCTTGGCAGATTATAAAGTGAGCCTGCACCAGTTAATGAGCTGTTGCGTACCCACGGGTGGTTGGGGACTGCCAGCATACAGTCTCACAGATCCCCAGCTGGTGTAGGGCAAAGAGGCATGTGCTCCAGGGGAGAGGAAACTGGGAGGGCTGTGTCCTGCTCCCTCTCCCAGTGTGCCTGCAGCAGAAACGGGCAGCCAGGCCCAGCAGGCAGGGGTCTGTACTTAGTGAGGAGCTCTGTGGAGAAAAGCAGGTTTGACCACTGGAGGAATGCAGTGATTTCCATTTAGCTGTCAAAAATGAGCCAGACACAG